ACTTGGACAAGGCAGTAATATAACAGTCTGTCCCTTTTTTTTTGTTTTTTGTTTTTTGGGTTTTTTTGTTCCTATATTGCTGTTAACTCTGAGGTGTGATTAGCTAATACATGCTCAGACTGCTCTTTTGTCCTCACATTTCCAATCTATCCAAGTGGACTGCTCGCTACAGGAAGATGAAATTAAACGTACAAATCAGAAGTAGTATATTACCAGTACAAATGATGTGTGTAGTGTATATGTTTGAAGAAATAAATCTATCAATTCTTTACTCAATACTGATTTTACTTTAGATGTATTTTTGTATCTAATATAGTGTAAGTTCTCAAAAATGTCTGTTTGCTCCTTGTCGTGTTTGGTTTCTAATGCTTGATTTCCTTTACTAATTTATTCTCCCTTGCTTTTTTGTTCTACTTCTTTCTGCAGCTGAAGAATGCTTTGCTGATTCTGACCTGAACTTTCTTATTCCCATCGCAGTGGGCATGGCACTTGGCTTCCTTATCATTCTTGTCTTTATATCTTATATCATTGGAAGAAGAAAAAGTCGTACTGGCTATCAGTCTGTATGATCTCTTAATTCCGTCTCTGTTGCCACCTTCCCTGCTCTTCTCCTTTTCCCAAACACCCTGATCTGCCCCTTTAAAAAGAAGAAAAACAAATGAATTCGTAGTTACTTTATTTCAAAAAAAACCAAAACAACATACCATGAGTCTGAAGATGAGTTACTTGAAGCTACTGTATGATTATGGAGAAAGTAAGTGTTCTGAGGAGCGTAGAATTGGGTAGGGTTGATCTGTGTCCACGTGACAAATGTGATTATTTTGAGTAAAGACATCTGTGAAACTCTGTTGTTTAATCTTTTTATACAAGAAAATTTCTAGTTGCATACAGCTTATCTCGGATAATGCTAAAGCTAAGACCATAACTAAAGGTGTGAATGCTATGTGGAAAGGGACTGTACATGCTATGGGAAAATGAATACCAAGCTCTTAACAGACTGCTGTTGGGAACTTGGCATATGGCTGTTGTCTTTTTTCATTAACAGCTTGTTCTTGTGAATCAGTCTGAATTTTCTGTTCCTTCTGAATGTAAAGGTAGTTTCTGATCTCACTAATAAACTAACATAATATGAGAAGAACATCTGATTCTTCTATTAAATTAATTTGTTTAACATCAGTGTGGAGAAGTTGACTGCTAATGTATGTTAAATAGCTTTGCACTAGCATGATGTCACTAACATAGGGCTTAGTCCTGGAGAACTTTCACTACTCAGAAAAGCCAACAGTCTGCTAAAGGACGTGTGTCCTCTGGTATTTTGTTTGACCGTGTTTTTCCCTTTTGTTCTGAGCTCAAATGTGAAATGAGGGTGGGAGGCTGGAATTTCACTGGCTGCAATTTGTCTCAGCTTTGATTCTGTGCACATAAAAGAAACCACACAGCGTTTCAGCACTGGTCCGTGTGAGGATCAAGAGTATTTTGAGAGCTCTCAAAGGCTGACAGAACACAGATTGCTCAGAGATTCCTGCAGTTCCTTTGGACAGCTTTCATGGGTTAACGGGATCACTGAAAATCTGTGATCTAGAAATGCAAGTGAAGATACAAAAAACAGTCTGTTTTGGTAGGATTAATCTGCCTTTAACCTCCTCATTATTGCACTCTCAAACAACAGTTGGATAGTGTCAGAGCATACAATTTCTAGCATGAGGAATGCTGATGATAAAGCAGAAACTAAAACATATATGTATATAGTGAAGAAAGTGACTCCCAAAGGAATAAGAGCATCTGACTTGTTTGAAGATGCTTTCCGTGTTACTAATGCCATACCTTTTGCAATTCTATGTTCCATATTTAAACTGTACGAAAATAGAAGGTAGTCGTTTGTGGTTGTGTTCTGCTTCATTCCCATCAGGTTCATGTTGATAGGATGAAAGAAGCCTCTTGCTCTTTCAGCCTCTTTGGTCCATGTTGGTGAAAGCTTTTTGCAGCTAGCAAACCCTGATTTCCAACTGTGGGACAGCTCAAGAGCTGCCAGGTCTGCAGGGAGCTGCTGATGGCACACAAAGTTTCTGTCCTCTGCAGCAAATGCTTACTGAAGCAACTTTAATATTTTCTCTCTCTGTGCATTGAGCCCGTATCTATGTTGTAGGGATGCAGTAATTCACATGCACACAGGAGACAGTCACACTGGTGTTTAAATAACTCACTATAGCTATATGTTTGAGGAAGGGAGATTTCTAAAGAGTTAGTTCTGATGTTTGAAAAATACCTGTACATTCAGTTGTTCTTGTGCTTGCTGCGACCAAAGAAAATCTTTACCTGAATCTGACAAAACTGATTTGTGTACCACAAATGGGCTCTTGAACCAAGCTGTCTTTTTTTTTTTTTTTTGGGGGGGGGTGTGATTTAGTGCTGCTGAGTTGGACTGTGAGCTTTGGGTTTGGTTGTCTTGGTCTTTTGTGTTGTACCTTTGCTCTCACAAGACTTGATTTCCTTGCCAGAGTGGTAAACGGTGAATTATTTTGACACTGACAATTTCTGAGTAACACCTGCTTGTCAGAGTGTGTCGCTTCTCTGCTGCCAGCAGATGGATTCCATCTATGGTTTCATGCTTAGGTAGCACATCAAAGTATTTTGAATCACTTTTGCTAGGTTATTTTACTAAAATGTGGTAACTTCCTAGATGCACATATATATATTTTATATACACATATAAAGTATTATTTTGGGCTTCAATAGAAGTCAAAAATTGAGCCAGGACTTGAAGGTGGTTGTAGCATGAAGAGTGGTGTATACAGTTCTCCAAATCTTAAAATGATTGTACAAATATGCTAAAAGCAGAATTATGTGTATGGAAAATAAAGTTATCTACAGTGTTTATAAAGCTTTGTTTTAGTGTAAGTAGACGTGCATGCCATTTCTGAGAGCTTTTCCAATGGGATTCTCAGCGTGCCTGGATCTCGGTGTTGGGAAACACACTTGTGCTTCTAAGCTGTTCCTGCATTTACATCTTGAGTTAGTTGGTCTTTCTTTGTTGATTGGATCAAAGGATGGGTCCACCGTCTGCTAAAGGACCAGCTGCTCCATGAATCCTTCCAACAGGCAAGTAGGAAATAGATATAAGTAAAGGTTTGTCCTGTTGCTAGCTGGAGAGCTGTTTATTTCATGGCCTGAAGCATGAAGGGTTTGGTTTCCTTTCAGGATCCTACAAAAATATTTTAAAGGAGCTAAAGCAATTCACAAGTGGGGAAATGTTTGTGGCTTTGTTTCTGATGTCAAAGGAAGAGACAGCATCTTCCTTGGCAGAAGCCGTTTTCTGTTGATCAGAACATGCCCTTTCAGGTAAGTTGTGCAGGCAGAATGATTGTGTTGCCCTGGCTCTATCAGTGTCCTAAGAATAACCACCTCTGAGCAAAATTAGTTTCTAAATTACCTCTGGTTCAGGTTTTCAACAGTTCTTAATAAATAGTTTTTGCCCAATGGTTGGTTGTGATACTTGGCATATAGTGAGTCTTACTGTACTGGGCTTCTGAACTCTTTGGCCCTAGAAAGTTATGTGCTCAAAATGCAAGGATCACATTGCACGCTGCTTTGAAATGTAGTCCCTAACGGGCCAGCACAGGGAGCTAAGGTCACAAACTGCATCTCTTACACCAGTGTTTTAAGAATGGTACCATAGAGTTAATTTTACTGTAGTCACTTTATTTTTAATACAAAAAATTACTTCTTAGAGACTTACATAGATCAGGAAACGATGGCAGATTAAGTACCTGGACTAGGATGTAGGACAAACATACCATAATGCTCTTGTTCCATCAGTAATTTTAGTAAGTGTGCTTTCCAACTAGTACATTATCCTAAGGTGTCCTGTCCTACTGTGTTCTCATAGCTGGTAAGGTGCAGAGCGTAGTTCATCTCTGCCAAATACGAAGGCTTTTGCACCCAGGGGCCGGGGATGGTCAGGCTGCCTTGCGCAGGTTAGCAGCACTCCGCTCTGACAAGGGTGAGTGTGCTTCATAGGTCTTTGAGGGTCATAAATTGATGACTTCACTAATACCAGCATTGACCCCTTAACGATGAAACAGCTAAGCGTTTCCCTGCGCTTTTCTGCGGCGTTACAGCTGTGACCTCTCTGGAACAGGGAAGAACAGACCTGAGATATTTGGGGTGGGGGTCTAACACGTTTCACCGGCACTTCTGTGCCCGAAGAGGGGAAGGAGGTGCCATCAGCCTGTGAACGGTGGCAGGGGAAGAAGGGCTCCGCTCACTCGTCCCTGCCTAATAGGCTTGATGAGGATTCATGGGGCAGAGAGAAGTACTGGAGTGAGGAGGAGGAGGAGGGAGAATTGCATCAGTCTTCCCACTTCAGAAAGAAACAGTTGGAAAGGTTCAAGGGCAAATGATTTTCTACATGGCCTTTGCTCCAGCACCTTGGGTGTGCTGAAGAAGCTGTGTAAAATGCTGCAGTTAAGGTGCTCCTGGTGCTGAAGATCCTAGGAGGCACGTTGAGATCTGCCACTTTCACTTTTTAACTGTGTCATTGCAGGCATAATCCAAAATTTTTGCTGTTTATTATTTTAACAAGAATAGTGCTAATAAACTATCCTCTGGTTAGCTTTTGCCTGAGAAATGCACATAAAACTATGGTAAAGGTTAAAATTTAAGGCCAGGAAAAATGCATTCCACAGGGGTCACTTGTAAAAGACCTTATGAAAAGAGTGTTCAGATACCAGAGGGTTTTGTAATCAAAACTGAAATGCTTTCACAGGTTCTCTGCCCAGGAGATAACTTTTAATTTTACTAATAATGATTTACATCAGATGATGAAAAATATGGTTCCAGGCTCCGTTGCATCTCATTTGTTTTCTAACTATGAACAAAAATAAATTAACAAAAATCTCCATGTGCCTGTTTTTCCTAGCAGAAAAAAAATGCTGGCTTTATGCTCTAAAAAGGAAAAAGCCTCTGACTGACTTAACCTAAGTGCCCAGTGTTTGCGGTGGCTACTTTCCAACGCTGAGCGTGAAGATGATTCGGCCCAGGAAGCGGTCGCTGTTAACGTCGTTGACGATACCTTTCCCATTCAGACTGCACTGAATAGGAACCAAATAATTCTTCTTCACATCTGTAAAGTGCATAGCCACCAATGGGGATGTATAGTTAACCTGAAAAGAAGGGAGATTTAAGTGTAATTTTTGAGGGAGCAGAAAAGCAGGCAGTGCTTTCATGTTCAGTAAAAATCATTAGTCATATTGGTTCATGCTTCCCAGGCGTCTGAATGCGTTTGCCTGATGTCTGTCAGGGTCCCTCGGGATGCTGAAGCTGAGCCTTTCTGTGCCTCAGAGGGACAGGATCACATCAGAGTTTTGCCTGTACCCTGCCTCTTGGGTTGATCAGCCAGGACTAGCAACACCAGATAATGGGACTCTTAAATACTTTCTGCTGTTCTAAAAACCGACCTATGACTTGTAATAAGAAATTCATGGTGTTCCTTGGATCTGTGTGCTGAAAGGACGTGCAGACCTGGCGTCTGGGGCTGTTGGTCATCCTGGGCCAACAGCAGTATGGCAACAGGGGTCTAGTGCCTGCCTCTTCTTCCATTTCAGCTTTTGTTGTGAAGGTGTGGTTACCTCCTAACGCTGCACAGCCCAGCACAGCCCAAAGCAGTGCTGGCCAGCATGTTCAGAAATAGCCACCAATGTTGGACTGCTCTGTTTTGAGCCATCCAGCCTGAAATGGTCTTGTCATAGCTTTGACAGAAGCCCCATCCTTTTCCTCTTGTGTCACCTAAGGCCTGACTTCCCTCACGCCCTGGGAAAGTGCTGGTGTTGAGACCTTCTCTGGGAGTTAGCAAAGCCAGCCTTAGTCTCCAGACAATAAATGTAATCATTCCCATTGCTGGCAAGGGGGAACCAGAGTCCCCAAGGATTTCCCGCAGTTTGTCAGAGACAGAAATAGAGCGCTGTAATCCCAGTGCCCGTGGCCTCCCTCCTGCCTACATCTGCCCAAAATAGCCCGAAAGCACATCTGTACTCTGTGCAGCAACTCCAGCCCTCTCCTTCCCAAGGAGACATGACGAAGATGCCAGAAGCCTTACTTACGTGAGTGATCTTGCCATAGTAGGGATAATACATGAGATCAAACGTCCCATTTCCAGGGTAGAAGTCCACCGATCTGAGATCGCTCTCATTGCCTTTCTGTGATTGGGGGAAAAAAAATTAAAATCAAGTACGCACCTAGCGTGTGGGACACAAAATACAGCTCCCTTCGGAGTAAGGTGAAGGAGCTTTAATACAGACATCTCTTCCAAACCCACGTCCAGGCTCAGTTGCGCCTGCCTGTGTGCAGCGTGTTTGCGGTGAGAGCCAGTGCCGCTGCAGCGAGCCGGAGCACAACCGTCCTACAAAGGCGCAGGCGAAGGTTACCGATTTCCTGCCCGTTCATCCCTCCCTGCCCTTGCTTGCTGCATTATTGCTTTCTAAGGGTATGATCCAGCTGCTGCCCAGGCAGCGAGAGCCCTTCCTTCGCCCTATTGCTGTTGGCTTGCAGGCTGCTCCCCAGGACCAAGGGTTCTGCGGAGTGGGTGGGGGTGGATGTGAGCAGCCCTTGCCTCTTTACCCCCCCAGCTCCAGCTGCCACCCCGGCACCCTCCCCTCGGGGACTGAGCCCGGTGAGGCCGGCAGGAGCCGGCAGCACTCAGAGGGCGAGCGCCAGGGTGGGACGTGGGAGAGTGATGGCCTCTGTCGTTCTCAGCAGACCGGCCCCCACTTGCACCCAGGGGCATTGGCAGCGCTGGGTCCTGTGAGTGTTTGGGGCTAAAGAGAGGACAGATATTGGTGGAGTCCATCAGAAGGAGACATTTGGCTTTCTATGCACCACACTGCTGAGCACGAATGAAAGCAGTACCTGCACTTTGCAGTCCACGCTCACGGGGACCCCAGCACCAGGGCGGTAGCCTATGATCTGCAAAACCAAAAAACATCCATGCTTGTGTGAATTGCAGTCCCAAGTGTGTGCTGCCTCCCTTCTCCAGGGCTTAAGCTCTCCTACATGCCACTCACGTTGCTCAGGACAGGCATCACGTGCCCCTAGAAGCAGGGTCCACCACCCCATGCCATGCAACTTGCCCGTGCCTGAAGGCAGGATTGGTGCCTGAGAGCCAGGGCAGAGCAGAGCACCCAGAGAGCCCAGACTCCCTGCAGTAACACAGCCACTTCCCCACACAGTTCACATCCACACACACATTTCTTTTCCCAGCAGCATGCGCTAAGCCACCACGCTATTAGAAGATTTCAAATTAAACTCAGTTCTATGAAAATTCCCATCATAAAGAGACTGGGGTCTGGGCTGTAGCCCTATAGCGCAGTTCATCCCAGAGAGGGGCCAGGCACAAGACCTTCCAAGTACTCAGGCCTCAGCAAATCACATCAAGCAAGTTTTGTAGTGTTTCTTTTTTTATGTTTTCTAGCAGGCATTGGCCAGCAGGTTTTTGGATCCTAGTTCCCTATTTCCTTGGGACTGAGAAGTGGAGGAGTTTCAGTCCTTGCACGGTCTTTACTCTTTCACAGTGGGATGCACTGAAGGAAGGAATTAAGACGACCGGCTTTCTCTGTACCCGATTCATCTTCAGCAGTATGCAGGGCTGGCCTTTAGAGTAGCCAAACGTTGGGTCCTCAATGCCAGAGCAGTTCTGCAGCAGCGAGCGCTTGAACTGGCAGGCCTTCTTCTCCTCGCTTTCATTGCCCCCTTGGATGAAGTACTGTCCTGAGACACACTCGATATTCTTCTCCTCTTGAACTTTGTCATCATAAGCTGGTGGGGACCAAGAGACTTGTTAACATTTTTCAAGACCTGCACAGACTCCCGCTCTCAGAGTACATCTGCATGGCAAGGGAGTTAGAAAGTCCCACCTGGAAAGGCAAGGCTCCCTCCCACAGAAGTTCCGGTGACCACCTTATGAGCCTCCCTTTCTAGATGGGGGTCATGAGATGGCCAGGAGGAGACCCCTGCACCGTGTGCGTGTGTGCATGGATGCAAACACCTTGCCGACACGACTCCTGGGGTGCCCAAGAGCTTACCTGCTAGGAAGTGGTGCATGCTGTCCACGTAGGGTTGCCACGTGCTGGGTTGAGAAACGTTGAAGGCAATGGTGAAGCCATTCAAGTACGGTCTGATCATTACTCCTGGAGAAGGAGACAGACTCTGTTAGAGCAAATGGGGGTGGACTGGCCACAGGCTTGGGGTGCGTGTTACAGGGGCTGGTTGCGCTGCGGCTGGGCTTGCGGCTCAGCACAGGCATGAGAGCGGCAGGACCAGCTCACAAATAAACCCTCTCCTCAACCCTCTGATCCCTCACCTCCATTTCACACCCAGAGAACACCGTGAATGTCAAAATATCCCAGGAAACATGGGAGACCTGGAGGGTCTCAGCAGCGCTGCAGGAAAGTGATGGGCTTGGGGCTGCAACACAGGGGCTGAGAGGTCCCCCGTGCTCCAGGCAGGGAGCAGGGTGAGGGGGCCTTGTGTTCCCCACCGACACAAAAACACAGGGAAAATGCTGCTTCTGACAGAGGAAAAGGAGTTTTTTGAACATTATCTTGCCAGGATGCCCCCAAATAATAATGCATAAAAGCTACTCTTGATTTGCATTTTATTTTGAAGATACAAAGTGTAAAAGGACAGCAGCTGAAATGAATGGGCATCACCTATGAAATGCCTAAACTTGCCCATTTACTTTGAGAATACTGATAGCCATAATTAGCATGATTAGAATAACAATTAATATAATTAGAATGACTGCTTCACATGGGGCTATTTAAGATGCCTGATCCTCTGCAGAGAACCTGCAGTGCTGTCAGTGCCCTCAGGTAAGTGATAACACCCTGTGTTACGGAGGGCTTTACCCGAGGTCCCTGCCATGCCGTTTTGGTAGCACTTTGCCGGGCAAGTGCCGGCAGAGGTGCCTGAGGCTGGGGTACGTACCTGGTGGAGAAACGCGGTCCCGGTACGTGGGTGTGTAGGGGCTCAGCGTCAGCAGCATCACATACATGCAAAAGGCAAACATTCCTGCCAGGCATGTGTAGAAAATGAAGTAAAACAGTAAGATCAAGCCTGCAAAAGAGAGAGGGTATGTTGCTGTTAATGCAACCAGAGCACGTCCCGTGGGCTGTGTCCCGTGGGGATGCACAGCCGTGCTCAGCAGCTCTTGAGTCCATCGTGGAAGTGGGAGCTCGCAACCCCCCTCTGCACACAGACCCTGGCATTTTGGGGTGCAGGGGTCTCAAGCAGACACACACCCTGCCCAGCCCCGGGGCAGCTGCTCTTTGGCTCTGTATCCCTTTTGTTGCATGGCCCTTCCCAGAGCTGCATCAGGACCAAGTCCGTGTGTCCACCTGCCTCAGTTCTCTCTGACGGACAGACCCAACCTTGGCTCTTGCCCTTCCCACCCCCTCTTGGCATAGTAACATGGGAGCGTACCCAGTGCCTTCAGCACCTCCAAATTCCCAATGGGGGCTGCAAGGCGATGTTCTTGCCCCAGCTCCCTGCATGGCAGAGACCCCAGCGCTGGGACTGAAGCGAGCGACATTGCTCAGGGGCTGCGGCATTGCTGGCTGTTTCGTAGCCCTGACGTCCAGGGAACGGGTTTGTTTTTCCTCTGGACCAGGCTGATGGCTGAGGATGTCTCAAGAGACAGTTGCCTATGAATAAAACCCAGCAGCTCAGAAGGCAGAGTGAAGCCCTAACCCAAACATTTCCCAGGAGAAACATGCCGGCAGCTTGGAGGGAGCCCTGGGAACGCAGATGTGCTCTCCTGCCGGGGCCGCGGTGCTGGGAACGACTGCGGGGCCGTGTCCCACTGAGGGCCGAGCCAGGACGGATGGGACCGTCGCTGCTGCTGGTGGCACATCAGGGACAATGTCCAGCCCTGCTGCAATGATGCTGGGACGGTGCCTCGGCACCAGCCCGGTGGGGCTGGAGCTGCCGCTGGGGTGGCGAATCACGGGGTGCCAAATCACGGGGTGCTGCTACCGTTCTTGTTCGTACGTTTCCTGCAATGCAGCAGGAGGCATTGTCACCGGCAGAGCTGGGGTACAGCCTTTCCCAGGGGCTGGGACCCCCAGTGCTGACCCTGTGGCCAGCCAGCTCCCTGTATTTTGGCAGTGTAAGTCCCCCGAGTGCCCCGTCCCTGGGGAACACCTTCGGGGTCAGCGCAGGGGAGCAGCCCCAGGCTGGGCAAACTCCCTCCTCCTCACCTGTGAGATAAGAACAGGCAAGTTCAGCTCATTCACCTCCAAATGCTCTCATTTCAAAAGAAAATCTGATTTTCATGGTAGCTTCAATGCCTCTCTCCTGCCCCCCTGTACAGGCACATGAGCACTATCCGTACCGCCCATGAATATGGGGGTATGTGTGTCCCTAGGGCAGCAGGGCCATATAGCACACCATGATGCTCCCAGGATGCAGGAGGACACTGCACCCTCCCCGAGGCTGTAAATAAATAACTTCCAGCAGTAGCAAGCCAGGGCCCCATCCACACCAGCCTGAGCAAGTCCTCTCACAGGGCTTTTCTCAGCTCCCAGCAGAGCCTCCAGAAACCCAAACCCACATCCTTAAGGACTGTCACCTCCGTACTGCTCCCAGACTCCAGTTTGCACCTTCCCATCCAGCAAAGAAGCAGCAAAACCAGGCTGCCTCCGTGGCCAGCAAAGGGCACGGGGAACAAACGTGGATTTCAAGGCCTGCCCGAGACTCGTGCTTTCGGGTTTTCAGATTCTTCTGGTGCCCAAGGGCAGTTTCCTTCATTTCTCCTGGCTGTCAACACAGGCTTTGCAGGAGACCCAAAGCACTGGGGGGGGGTATGGGCACGCCGTGGGTCTTGCAAGCGCTTTGCCAGTGCCAGCCGAGGAGGGCTGCAAGCGCTGAGCAGCAGCCCCCGATAATTTGCAGCCTTACACCGGTGCGGATGTGCACGTGATGCTGGGCTAAGGTTGGGGATTTTCACCCTGCTGCAGGGGCTATGTGCTGTCAGGGGAACAGAGCTGCAAAGGTGGATGGCATCGCGTGTGCTGTGGCACTTTGATCTCGGACCGAGCCTGCAGCAGTCCCTTGTCCCGAAGCCACCGGCTGCTCCTAACCACCCACGGCACCTCCAGACTCAGCGATCATTTTTGAAGGCTATGTGGATATGGATAAAATAGACAGAGTGCTCAAAACCCTCCCTGGCACATCCCAGCCCACAGGCCCCGATAGCACATGTGGGCTCGGACGTGGGCACCATGTCATGCCCCGGGAAGCTGCAGGGTGACGGCGATGACCAGCCCTTCCCGTCCCAGAGCCAGGGCACATGCAGGCAAGGAGGGCTGCTCGGACCCATGCTGTGCACCCTCCCCAAAATGTCTTCCCCGCAACTTGGGTCCTCTTCCCCCACCGACACTGATGACCCAAACCCACCTCCCCACGGGCTCCTGACTTACACAGGCAGGAGCCGGGTTGCTGGCGGCAGCAGGGGTGCGTGGCTGCGGCAGACCGACCTGCAGCCACCGCACTTGCTCAGGCTCTTAATTTCTTCCCAGCACACAGTCTGGGCAGCCCAAAATCTTTGCTTTCACATTCTCAGTAAACATTAACATCCAGACCAAGCGTTTTCTGTTTGTCCTCCTCACTAGTTCTTTATTGCACTGGTTAGAAACATCTGCCCTGAAAATGTGGGACGGGGATGGTCAGTCCAAGCTATCAAGGACGTTCACAAGCAAATGCATCCATCGTGAAGCAGAAAAGGCAATGATCCCCAAAAGCGAGGTGTGAGCAAGGACCTACCCCAGCTCTTGGCCGTTCTCCCCAGGCACGTCCTCTCCTCCGGGTTCCACAGGAACATCTTCATCTCCCCAGCCAGGTCTGCCCAGGTTTTGCTCCCCATCTCTGCCTTGTTCTCGTCCTCCCCTCTGTCAGGATCCTGGACCTTCTCCTCATGCTTATTTTCCTGGAAGAGTTACAGAACACAACCCCCACACGCAAGCTGAACATCTCATTGGCCAAAAATAAATGCAAAAGAACTTAATAGCTGGAAATGTTTCAAATTTCCATTTTCCCATCATCACTCTTGAGTTAAAGAGAGGCAGTTTTGGCTGTTCTGACTTGAGATCGCTTAGATCCCCGCATCCTTTTTTCCATGACACGTATGTCACTGCCGTCACACCCGGTACTGTCTCTCTGTCCTGGCATTTACAGAAACTCGTCTTTTTCCACCTGTTTGACCATGACCAAAGAAAACCTGCGATCTGGGAGAGCCGGGATTGTTCCCACGCTTCTGCAATGTCTCTGAGCTCAAGTGCACATTTTCTGTGCTACCTCAGATGACAGCAGGTAGCATTGTTTAAGAGGTCATCCAGTTTGTTTTTCTTGGTGGGTGAGCAAGTGTTTAGTCTTTGGAGAAATCCCTGTGTCGTTATTTTTTAATTACACTAAGTTCTAGGGAAAAGCATCTCCCCAGGCGGTGAGAGTTTGCATTTTGCCTCCATGGTGAAAACTCATTTGTCCAGAGCTCAGGAACACAAATCTCTGTGTACCTGTGCCTGGCCAAGGGTCACTTCAGAAAAGACCCGGCAGCCGTCCCTAACCCCCCTTGAACCTGGGCGGGCTCTACATCTCCAAAAGCAGACAGCCAGGCAGGAGAGGGTGCAGACCTCGCTTTGAGCTCAGGGCAGGGCTGGGCCAGGTACCGCTGGGGAGAAGGAGTGATGCTGAGATCTGGATGAGTTCATATCTTCCCCGTGCTTAAATGCAAACACTGCTGCAGGTCTCAGTCACTCCCAGCTGGGTCAGAGCCATGCTTGCCCACCCCAGCCACGTCTCCCTGAGGCCGCCGTGCCCGCCGTGATCACGG